GGGAAAGAGGTACCAACGAGATAAGACCACTGTCAGCAGGTGATATATTAGCTTTAATGTACTGTACTTCATTGCGACCCTTATGGCAATAATGTAAACAGAGCAAAATCCGTAACAAAGACCTTCTTTGGAGAGGTCACTTCTGCCAACTCTGCAACAGGAATATAGCTGGAAGACATAAATCTTCAGCTGTCAACACACTAAGAGAATTCAATTCAGAGCTTGATCTTAACTAGATAAAGCCTAAAGTTAATAATTATTTTTTTGTTGTTGCAACAGTACATTTTTTCCAGTGTATATACTTGCCATATCAAGTTGTCTCAAGGCAAAAGGTAGCAATGTTATAAATTAATTCCAAAGAACAAAGCCAACTAGATAGGTAATTTAATTTTCAATAAAAGCTCTACACTGTATATTAAAACTTCCAATTTCTCTCAAAAAATGGCTCTGCTCAGAAAGATGGCTTTAAAGGTTTGGTATTTTCAGTCCCTCAAAGATTTGTAGAACTTACTTTCAGTTTATAAGTATCAAGAGATTTGGTGGAAGAGAGTGGGTTGCTTTGTGTTTTAAAAAAGAATCATGACCAGCCTTGCAAGCAAACCTTTGGAATACAGATCAAGCTGGATCCCCTTTTGGTTCACACACCACTTTTGAACCTATAATATTGGTAGCAATTCGCTTTGTGTGTTAATCAGAGCACAAGCCAACAGACTTGGCTTCCACTGCAAGACCAATATAGCTCACTGAAAGCGAACTTCTGTCACTAATGGAAGAACTATTTTTAAAAACGTGTATTGAGTATGTGCCATCTCTTCCAATCACTTTTCACAGTGGAACCACATGTCAAGGAGTGATTCTTGTTATATGAAGCGTATTCCATACTAACCTCATAAATCAGGAGCTCAACCTCAAGCAGTGAGTTAGCAACAGAAATCTGACACACAGCTTTCATAGGTTGACTTCATCTTGAAAAAAAGACAGAGCCTCGGTAGCACCAGATGCCAGCAGCAGACAAACCTCTTAACAATAATGCTCCCAACAAACCTAATCTCCTTTAGCTAACACTAAAAAAACTGATGCTGCAAAGGCTCTTCTTTTTGGAAGGCTGAAAACAGTGAAGCGATGAGCAGACTTTGGGTTGTGAATTAACTAGACTCTCTTTTCTTCCAGACACCGGCTGCAACACAGTGCTGCTCAGCACATGACAGAGAACTTGCTCATGCCTCAGAACGCTTTTGCTATTTGTTGTGGTTTAACCCAGCAGGGAGCTGAACACACCCAGCTGCTTGCCCACTCCCCCCCTGCCCTCAGTGGGATGGGGGAGAGAATCAGAAAAAAAAGGTAAAACCCATGGGATGACATAAAGACAGTTTAATAAAACAGCAGAGGATAATAATAATAATAATGGCAAGAGAATATACAGAATATACAAAACAAGTGATGCACAATTGCTCACCACCCACTGACTGATGTCCAGCCCATCCTGAGCAGCAATCCCTATCCCCCAACCAATTCCCCCCCAGGCATGACACCATATGGCCTGGAATACCCCTTTGGCCAGTTTGGGTCAGCAGTACTGGCTGAGCCCCCTCCTGGCTTCTTGTGCACCTGGCAGAGCATGGGAAGCTCTGAAGAGTCCTTGCCTAGTGTAAGCACTGCTTAGCAACAGCTAAAGCATATGGGCGTTATCAACGTTATTCTCATACAAAATCCAAAACACAGCACTATGCCAGCTACTAAGAAGAAAATTCTATCCCAGCTGAAACCAGGACACTATTTAAAGCCGCCCTTGCAGTCTACACAAGTCTGCATAAGCTATGCTATTTCTCTATTTCTGGGCTTTTGGTTACTGTTGTTCTTGCTGTCGTGAGGTTACATCCATACTTGTTCCCCTTCTCCACTTCCTTGGGAAACAGATTTCACAGTAATGACAAATACTGATGTTCAGAACACAATCTCATGTTTCTGTTGACTGATTCACAGGTTTTAAACCACAAGGAACCATTTTTTGGATCAAGTTTAATCTAATACTGGGAATTAGGTTTGCTTAGTGGTAAGGGCACAGTTACACTCCAATATAAGTAAGATGTTCTTACGAAAAGATGGCAAGCAACAGCTTCCTTTCCTGCTAAAGACCAGACCAGCAAGAAGTGTCTTGAAGTTGGATAACAGGTTTGTTATAGGTATTAGGGATATCAGACCTTCAGTAGAGGTCTTCAAGAACAGATTTAAAAGCACATCACAGATGTTTCAAGGCATGTTCATTCCTGTGAGAGAAAATAATGGTCCAGCCTTGTGAGGTGCCTGAGAGTCCCACAGTTCCACATTTTCATCATTCCACAAGATAAAACTTACATGAGGAATTAGAGGATGAAGTCTGGAGTCCGTAAGTGCAACTACAGCTTGCTGCCTTTTTTTTTTTTTTTTTTTAAATGTAATGGTAAAAGCTCCTAAAGAAAAGTTACCCTCTCCTGAGCTGGAAAGAAACGTGCTGAGATACTTCAGAAATGCCGCAGGGGGAAGTTCAGTGTCACAGCCCCCATTCTGCACAACACTGCCTGTTTTGATTTGAAGGCATACAGCACTCACACATATCACAGATTATCACATGCTCAAGTCAGTAAACACAAAGCCAGATATATTTAAAGTCTTAACTGATCAAGGAAACATGAACCGTAACACCGAAATTATAATCGAGCTCTCTCAGAATGACATTAGAGCTCCAGTCATGTAACAATCGCTGCAAATGGACAAATTCCTTTCATACTTCAGCATTTCACTAGAAGCACAGTAAATTTAAACAGATCATCTCCTGCCCAACTAGCAGAATGACAGCAAACCAACAATGCACAAATAAAGGCATTATTAGCAGACAATGACCCAATACACACAAAAATTCCCACTCTCTTCTTCATATTTTAAAGACTGATTGTCAGTTTTTCAATAGTAGCAGAATTAATGACTCTGACTCCCAAAACTTGACTCAAATTTAGCTGACAGTGTGATAGATTTACAGTTACAAAATTGCAGTTTTCACTTAGGAAATAGGAATAAAACGCAAAATGGTGTGATAAAAACAGAAGCCAAGAAAGCACAGGCATCTAAGAACAGTGGCACTTTTAAAATTTATTTACGTAGGGCTAATTTAAATTAGGCATTTTTTTCTTAGTACTGCAAAAAGCATGTTCTTTAAATTAGGACTCAAGCAGAAGAGAGGGATCCTACTAAATAATAACTCTCTGCAAACCACAGTAAACCAAATGCCTGGTTTCATTACGTGACTGATCTCAAATTAGGTAAACGTGTATGTCTAAGGGTACAAAGAGTGACCGAGTACATACCAGTAACATTTTCCACTCTGTGAATATGCACAGTCTTTTCAATTCAACAGTCAGCATGGAAATATATTAGCCCCAACAACAAATACGCTGGAATCAGTCATGGGTCTTGTTGAGGTTAGGGAGTATGAGAAATTCTCCAGTTTTCCTTTAATTTTTGAAAATGCTCATTTCATAAAAGCCACAAAAAGTCTGTGGGGAAAAAAGCAATAGTGGCACTTTTGGACAGAGACATGAAAGTGTTGGTTTCCGGCTAGGAAAAGAGAGGGAGAGGCAGAATTGACTGAAAATGGTCAAAACAACTGTTTTTATTTCAGAGGGTGCAGCCCCGAGCAGCTAACGGAGCAGACGGCTGCCCTGGCAGCCAGGCTACCGACCAGTTTTCTCACTATCATTGCACCCCAGAAAATCTGGGTTTTCATGTCTTAAAAAAACTGCACCAAATACATTTTCTAAGTAAACTCTTGCTATAGTGTAGTTTTGATTTACATTTCAGATAAAAAGACATCTTTTGTTGAGGTTCTTCTGCAGCAAAGTTTTGTACATTCACCCAAGATTGAACTATACCACCTAGCCCAGTCAGACAGCTTTAGAAATATTCACAGGCCACCAGTGGCCATAAAAGGGGGCTAAATCACCTTGATTCTCCCTGATAGGCTCAGAATTCTATTCTTAAGACAAGAAGTAAGATTGCAGGTAGTATAAAATTGCAAATATATCACTTTCAGAAAAGCTATATAGCAAAATCCATCCTCTTCTACTTGGAAAAAAAACCCCAAACCTTATTAAACAATAACCAACATGAGCTATATCTCAGAACTAGATAATTTTAGAGAATAGGAAGTCTACA